TTACGGCTAATACGAAGTCATGAGCGAAAACGAAGCACGTGTTCGTTTCTACTCGGTTTTGCGGGTCTAATATGCTAAATAGGGCCTTCATCACGAGGACAACATCGGGCGAGCTCGGATTTCGTAATCGGAAATCTACCCGAGATGACCTCCTTCTGACGGATGTCGGAGTACGCTTTCCAGTTTCTGCAAAGCGATACAACGACAGCGGTCAAACATCGGGCATGCGCAATTGTATCAAGTTGTGGGCGACAGCGCACCGTATTTCTTAGCCATCTCACAAATGAAAGAAAATATGATAACAATTTTTGTAACATCTGAGGGATGCGACGTACATTCCTGGGGATCGTACTTTATGAAATTAAAAATCAGTGAACCGTAATTTTATTGCTTTTAGTGATTCGTAAAGTTGTTTATATTCGATTTTTTCGTGATGCACTATTTCTACTTTTTGATGTGTGTGAAACGTATGCATGACCCATAAAGACTTCTAGCAAACGTTACGGAAAAAAAATTCTTTACTTTTGTCTGTTCTAAAGCTCTCTAACATGTTTGTAAGGACACACACAATAAAACTAAACTTTTCTTCAGTTATAAACTTTGCAAGATAACCAAGTTTGGTTGCATCGCTTAAGAGGACCTACACGATGGTATGAGCTGGACCCGAAAAAGCCATTCTGTCTAGCGTGTGGCCCCGCCGGATGAGAGGAGAGAGGAAAAATAGCGGGGGTCATATAACAAAAAACGTACTTACTGAACAAGGTTAGTCCAGCATAACTCGCTCTAGTCTACGAGCAGTCTTTCCTTTTCGGCGAAGTCTGTCGCGCGAGTCTTAAAAATCATTGAACGCAGAACTCTGGTAGTGAGGCGCACGAAAAGTACCCTTACTTCCAAAGTTCCGAGTTGAGCGTTAAAATCACTTTTCTTTCGCTGTTTTTTTTTTCGGACTCGCGCGATGGACTTCGTCTAAAAGGAGGTGGTGTAATTTCGCCGGCTCTCGTCACGAAGAAGGAACTTCGTTGTGTTTGGGTTTGTACGTCATAGCTTCAAGAAAATACTTTTGCGTCTCTTCCTCGCAATTAGTTTTTATTTTCATTACATGATGGCAGTTGGCAGTCCTTTGCATTTTTTTTTTTGATGATTATTTATGCGAGAATTTGATGTTTTGTGACAAGCAATTCCCATTTAATGTGAGTATGGACAGAAGTTATTCCTTGTAACAATAAAATCTTGATCAAAATGAAAATAAATACATCATCGCTCAAGTTCGCCTGTATACAGCTGTTTGCGAGCCAGCTTCGTAAACATTTCAATAAACTTAAAAAGGCCACAGATCGCTGTTTTTCGATCGCAATACCGGCATCACATGTTGAACGAGCTCTCTGGCATTTTCCTCTAAAATACGGTCACGAAGAATTTCCTACTCTTGTTGTATACAACACTCTGTAGAGTCAGGCGTAATCCAACTTTTGTTCAAGATCATAGCCTCAGGGATCAATGAAGCTCGGTTTAGAGTCAACAATTTATTTTCTAGCCCTCCTGGCATATGTTCTTCAAGTCGGTAAGAGACCAGCTTTGTTTTTAGCGTCTCCATGTTCTATATATTTTCTGTGTGAAGAAGCAAGGGCCCGCTCAAATAAAAACACTTATGATCAAACTCAGCATTTGTGAAGAAGTTAATTTCATGAAAAGCAGATAAACAACCTTTACAAAATATACTAACAAAAATAACCTGGAAAAATAAATACAAAGATACGATGAGACAAAGCACTTATTAAATGCTGCGAGAAACATAAGAAACACAAGTTACTCGCACAATCGGGGTTTCAACAGGAAAAAAAAGAACACACACACACTGCAACGAGAGCATGAAACGCTAGGAAGTTGAAATTTTGACGTTCTTGATAAATTTCTTGCTTAGTTATCAGCATGTCGCGATCCATTTCAAAGGGCAACGACACAAGTGACATCAGATATCACTTACCTTTCCTAAAATTCTTAAATCAGCTTTGCTGTAAAGGAGCAAAAACCTTTCTTTATCACAACTTATGTAAAAATTTTCACTTTTGTGTACAATCACCAGAAAGCAGACAACAAGAAGTACAACCTCTCTCCTTCCTGTCTCACAGAGTTTTACAGGAACTGATCCAAATAGAAATTTTTGTTTTGCAGCTCTTGCTATTCATTGCTTCAAGTGCACATCCCCAACGTCATGGTCGCACTGCGATCTTCTTGTGAACCAAGAAGCCAATCGAGACTGCCCAGCGGACAAGATCCGATGTATAGCTGTGATGGAAAGGAAAAATCCAAGAGAACGGGTGGAATACAGGAAAGACTGTGCTAACCGTCTTGAAAATCCGTGTCATGAAAAACGTGTAGAGGATTGTAGGTCCACCTTATGTGATGGTGACCTGTGTAACTTTGCTCTCACCCCATCAGCCACCCTCATAGCTTCTGGCTTCCGCTGCTTCCGTTGTATAAGCACAAAATCTTGGGACGACTGCGTTGAAAAAGCTGAAGAGATCATCTGCGACACAGGCTACAGAAAGTGCTACAAACTGGAGTTTAAGAGGGAAAACGGCGTCACTGAATACATAAAAGACTGCACTGTTCCTCTGGCCTGTGGAAACTCGTCAATCAATATGCCTCAAGCCGAACGTCGCAACATTAAGTGCTGTGGCCAACATCTTTGCAACGAGGCGAGTATCAAGAGCTCCCCTGTGGCAATATTTGGTCCTCTTCTCCTTGTCATTGTGGTATTCCTTTTTGATGCCCAAAACAATTTGTGAGTAATCAGCATCCCCTTAAACTTTTAACTCCCAGAAGTGATTTATTTGTAACCTCTCCCTATTATATCCCTACATTATCCAGCCAACAGGTAATGAGAATACTCAGACTTATCAGAAAGTAGTTGTTACCTTGATCTAACACCAAACTCTCAGAACCTATTTACAAGGAAACGTGTACCAGTTGCACGTAGAAGGAATAGAAACGTAGGCGTCATAATATGTAATTAACTAGGCAGGAAGGGATAGATAGTGTCCTTCCACAATATTGTACCTTTTGACAATAAAAACGAACGGTAAAACATGACGTTTCGACCAAACTGCGGTCATTTTCAAGGGAATAGTAAGAATGTCACGATGAATATATATATATGCGTGTAAGAAGTTTAAAATTTTTGGAAGTGTAAACGGAAAATATAAGAACATACTTCTTCTCTTTGTATGTTCTGATTGCTTAGGGTTAGTTTTTATACTTATAAATCGCTATTGATAAATATTGTACCTCTCTCTCATATTTTTGGCTATGAAGTCTTTGTCAAATGTGTAATTCTCAATGTAAAGTTTGCCGTTTTGCACTCCTCTGGTGCTGATGAATCAAAACAGCTTCGAGATTGTAAAGACGCTGCTGTAAGCTGATGTTTGATTAGCCCTCTTGTAGAGACCTTAAAAGTTTAGCACCGCTCAAGGTGTCAGCTTCCCAAGATTCCTTTCGGTAGTTGCCCTGGCTTCCTCAGTGATCCTGACTGAGTGTTTCTCTTGTTCGCCTACACTTTCTTTAAAAAGCTAGTATCAGAGTCGAAATAAATGTCAGCGTCACAGAAGCTGTAATGAATCAATATCATTGCATTCTCTCAGGTGTGGAGTTCGTTCCTTGATTGGTTATTTATAAAAAAGTAATCAAGTTTTATTATCAATTGTTTATATTCGAATTAGTTTAAATAACAACAGTGTGTTACACGACAATCACCTTATCTTTAGGGCGTAAGGAACCTCGGTTTATGTTTTTTTTTTAAGGAAGTTAATCGGCAGTAAGTTATTCACGGAGCTCCTTAAACTAAACTGTAACTTGTAAAAGCAAAAAAAATAAAAGTTGCTAAAGGCCCATTTCTGAAATCTTCACGTCTATGACGCGTTTCAGGTAGTGCAATTAATTTCTCGCTAGGGCATGGGTATTAAAATCTGGATCAAAGGATTCAACAGCTGACAGCTCTCAAGTTGAAATTGTTACGAATAATAACAAGACATCTACATCTACATTTCTACATTTATTAAGTTTGTAAAATCTGTACAGACATCACATCAACTATTATTATGCAAAGATATAAAATATATACAATACTCGAATAAAACTAATAAAGAAATTGGGATAGCACTTTTATAACTGTAAATATAAGATTAAGAAATAAAAGTGCCTGATGATTTTTGACTAAATAGGCGAGTAACTTAGAGTAAAAAAATGCCAGGAAGTTTGACTCAACTATTTCCGCAGGTAGCTTATTCCATAATCTTATGGTCCTTGAGAAAAAGGAATAAAAATGAATGCTCTTTGTCGCCATATCTTGACCCCCTCGATTTCTAACTTCAGAATGGGGTTGTAAATAACTATTTACATCAATATCAATTTGTCCACGGCTCATTTTATATAAAAGGTTCAGACGAGTCATACTTTTTCTTAATTCTAAGTTTTCCCAACTTAGATCTTCAAACATTTCAGTAACGCTAGCTGTAGGATAGAACTGAGCCGTTTTTCTCTGAATCCTCCCAAGGGAAGCAATGTCCTTTTGTAGGTATGGGTCCCAAGCGGCACAGGCATATTCAAGCTTCGGACGAACTATGGCTGTATAGGCAGTTGCTTAACGACGCCAGAAACTGTAACAGTAAGGGTACCAATGTTTGGTTTCATGTCGATACTAACAACTGAGATATCAGAGAGGTCTTCACAAGTATGTACGTTCGAAAAGTGATTGCTCAGGAGTTCCACCTTCAGATTTGACTATCAACTTTAGAATCTGCTACGCCAGGGTCGTCGTTCTTTAATTGCTTAATATATGTCTAGAAACGCATGGGATTTTCCTCAATAGCCTCACCCAAGTAGTTTGAAATGTAATTTTCTCTTGCAGACTTCAAGCTCTTGGATAAGCGTTTTCTGGCAATTATTCGGAAATTATTCTAGTGTGTAGTATTTCCCGATTTCTAAGCTGTGAAGCCGTTGTTTAGCTCTTGTTTGTCTTCTTGGCGACCGATGGAACCAGGGGACATTATTTCACAAGCTTTGCCCTGTTTACTAGGGATAGAATTCTAACGAATTAGACTCAATCAAACTGTTTTATTCCACTCTCGTATTCGCTTATGCACAACGGGTGTGTTGCCCTGTTTACTAGGGATAGAATTCTAACGAACTAGACTCAATCAAACTGTTTTATTCCACTCTCGTATTCGCTTATGTACAATGGGTGTGTAAAAAGCTACTCTGCAAAACTTGTAAGAAATCACTCTCTTATACGATATTCTCCACATTGTGATTGGTCGTTGGTAAGTACTGATTTAAAAGGTCATTCAAGGTTGCGTTGATCATGTAAACCGATCAATGTTCCAAAATCACTTAAGGCAGTGCTTTTAGCTTTTGACATAATGTTCATACTCATCATCTGACATGTGTCACGCACGAATCAAAGTCTCCAACAATTATACCTCTCTTTGTGGTATGCGAGTGTCCATTGTTCGGTGAATATTATTTCCAAAATGGTCCCACATTTCAACAATTGTTGTGTCAGAGTTTCCAGTTTCAGCCAATTCATAAGCAAGGCCTCGTAGTTCCTTCTGTCTACGGGTAGCATCCGCTCTTTTCCTGATGTAGATCTTAGGTTTAATGGGCTTTTTCCTTCTACATGCAAAGTTCACCTCAAATAATACCATGTCGTGAGCACTTATCCCCTGAATTACTTTAACGTTATTTTCGATTTCAACGTTATTTGCTAGTATGATGTCAAGGATATTAGCCTTTCTGGTGGGTTCTTTGGTTGGGTAAGCCAATGCTCAACCACGATTTCAAGTAGTCGCTTAGAGTTGGAAGAATGGCTTCGAAGTTCGTCCATTTGAGATCCGGAGCGTTTAAGTCTCCCGCCACAATTACGTTTGTTTGAATTCAATCTATCACCCAGTTTAAATAAAGATAACTCAAGTTCTTGGAGGCTATCTATGCATATCTTTCAAGTTAGAACGATAGAAGGAGGCAAGGAATAACTATTTTGATTACTTATTTTGAATCTGGCATTGAGTCCAGATAATCTCGCAATTGGCATTTAGGTCGTCTCAATGAGTAACTACGATCACAGGCGGCCCAAGCTCCAGCAGTGAGATGATCATCTTGCGCAATAACAGTCATGGCGGAATTATAAGAGTTTGTATTGGAATATTTACGGCCGCCTTAAGGAAAAAAATAATACGTCAAATTCTCAAAAAAAATACCTCACCTTACTTCTACAGCGTAACGCTTGTTATCTGACCGCTTACTTTGATGAAAAGGACGCATTATAGCGAGTTGTCCATTTCGACGTTTTCAACGTTCATAAGAAAAGCCCAAGGCTGAACACTCCATTTCCGAACGCCTGATCCGAGAAGCGAAAAATCCAAGCTCAGAATGACCGGGCGACCACAAAGCCAACGCAGAATCCAAGCACATATGATGAAAAGAGCCCATTTTAGCGAGTTGTTCATTTCGAGGTTTTCAACGTTCATAAAAAAAGCTCAAGGCTGAGGCGTATTCGATTGGCCGACCATTGCAATACACTACACAAACGGTGTAGCGTTGTGTCAAATGGCTCAGGGTAATGTCAAGTAGCACAGCGTACGCACAAACGGTGTAGCGTTGTGTGAAATGGCTCAGCGTAATGTCGAATGGTACAGCGTACATACAAACAGTGTAGTGTTGCGTGAAATGGCTCAGCGTAATGCCGAATGGTACAGCGTACACACAAATGGTGTAGCGTTGCGTGAAACGGCATAGCGTAATGTAGAATGGTACAGCGTACACTCAAATGGTGTAGCATTACGAATAGCTTTGCTGAACATCAGACGCTCTAGCTGAACATTAAATTGCTTAGCATCACACGAAATGTTTCGATGGTGTGGCGAATTGTCGAGCTTGCTTGTGGCGTGACGTGAATGCTATGTCGCCGAAACCACCAAAAATACTGGGGGGCATGACGTCAACGAATGTGGAGACTGGCGCAAAACCATTACATAGCGTAGTCGCTGTGTGGAAGAGTATTCACTTCGCCTTGCCGTAAAGCAGAGCCAATTCGGTAAGTTTTTCCTCTTTTTTTCCCTGTCGGCATTGTATTTATTCGTTGTCGTTCATGATAGCGTTAGTTAAAATAGCAACGAGACTGGATTCTACCACGGTTTACCACAGTTTGCACGTGTTGGTGAGCCTGGAATTTTATAGTATTAAGTAGTGCTAAGACGTGCATTAAATGTCGATTGCCGAGCTCTCTTTTCTTTTCTGACTCACGCTTACTTTTCAATGAGAGTTCAACTTCAACGGCTCTTTGAACATTGGAGGAGTACGTGAGAAGTCGGATTTTGTATGTGCCTTAGACGCCATGGTAAGAAAACTGATATCCTTGATCTGTTTTGACATTCTTCAATCAAACATGTAGTGTTTGCCAAAGGAACTTTCTTTCCGAGTTGGTTTTGAGCACATGCATACCTTCCTTGATGAGGCAGGTCTGCCATAAAATTAGTAAGAAAACGTTCTGACATAAAAGAGGGTGGTAAAGGGAAAATGGGGGGGGGGGGGGGGGGG